TATTGTATATCAATGGAAAAAATGCCACTGTCCTAATGCTTACACAACCAGTGCTTACCTTTAAATACGTGCACACCTGCCATTCAATTAACCATTGGAGACATGTCAAGTGACCATGCATTTCTAGGATCACAAAAGCCAGAACATGAGCCAAGTGATTGGTCAAACCCTTTAACATTAAAAAAATACACCATGACACTAAAGCCAGCAGAGCTAGGCCTGGGGTCTGCAACCATGGATTCCATAGCTTTTCAAATCTGCAAGGGGTACCCCTTTGTTGAAAGATGTGGGACATGCCTACTTTAGATACCTATTGACATAAGTTGATTTTCACAAGACCCACCCAGCAATCACATATCCATTGATACAATATGAGCAACAGGTATAACAAAGCTATCTTATCTTGGCAAGTTGGAAAACATTGATTGGGCAGGTTGGGCTTTCCCAGCCAATCACTGTTAGATGGTGCAATTTTTTTTCTTGCAACTACGGGTTTCAGTAAATAAAATCACTTCATTCCCTCATCAACACAGCGAGTGGAGCCATTGTGTTCTCCTGGTGGGGTTGGGGGCACAGGGAGTCGTCCCTGCTGGGAGAACACAGTGATTATTGCTAGCGGCTATAGCTGCTGGCTATAATCGCATGCTGAAAATCCGACATACTGGTTGTACCCAAGTCGATCGATGGCTCAACTGAGTACATTCAGCCTGCCCCTAGATGGTTTAAATCTTGGCCAGACCCTGCTGAACCGGCTGAGATTCTAACCATTTATGGCTGGCTTTAGCCCTGTCTGTAAACATCCAGATTTGTCCAATATAATCACTCAGCTTCCAGGTTATCAAGGAAATATCTGTACTCTCCATAGTGTTAGAGAGCTGGTATTACTACTATAAGCAATGTACAGTATTTGCCAATAGCAGCGTTAATAGATTTTGACATCTATTAATTTACAATGGATATTACAGGCATTTTATTTTGCTGGTTCTTCACATGTTATTGTGACATTTCTGCTAAATACAGCTACGTGAATACTGTGTTCTTTGTTTTCTTCCAGGTTTGTAATCCTCTCTGTGGTCCTCTTCGGTCTGACCTATAACCCCCATGAAACATGTTCCCTGAACCTGGTGGATCATGGCCGTGGGTACCTGGGGATTCTGCTCAGCTGCATGATTGCAGAGGTAGCTATCATCTGGCTGAGTATGAGAGGAGGAATTCTGTACACCGAGCCCAGGGACTCCATGCAGTATGTGTTATACGTGCGGCTTGGTAAGTGAGCACCGCATCTTTTTGTTTGCCATAAGGAAAGCAGAAGCCGTATTCACCTGTATATTCTTTATTCCTTGTAGCAATTCTGGTGATTGAGTTTGTTTATGCAATCGTGGGTATTGTCTGGTTGGCTCAGTATTACACATCCTGCAATGATATCACAGCAAAGAATGTTACACTTGGTAAGTGAAACCTGGGGTCTTATATGGCAGGTATGGCTAGTTTTTACTAATTATTGTGTGTTTAAAGTGGAACTAAACTCTCAATCAACACTGGCTATTTTTAATCCTTGTGCTGCTAGCATTAGTAAATGGTTAGGAAGGTATATTAGATTCTACTTGTTTTAAACTGATGTCATAAATCCCAGGAGTCTTCAGGAGGGGAGATGGGATTTTCTTGGCTAAGCACACCCTCCTGCATTAAAATAAACTCATAAAGTGACACAGCGCAAATAATAATAATAATAAAAATTGTGTAAAAAATATATATAAGTCCAACAAACAAAGTCCCAAATTATAGTCCAATGTCCCAAAAAATTGTGACAAAAAGTATAACGCTAACACAATCTTCATAAATGTTCCAGCGTGCTCACATCGTCATTGAAAAAATCATTTATTCCACACTCGCCAAATACTGTGAATTCTCAAGCTGATATTGCTTTGAGAAACAAAAAAAAACAGGCATGCAGGACTGAGCTAAGGGCAGAGGGATTCCAAGACTTAAATGCTCTATGAATAATCTGCCCTTACTCAAGATGGCCACGGCGAGAAATTAAAGGGGTGCTTTTCAAATTGATTTCTTATCAAAATAAAGCATGGAGATATGGATGGATGTGTGAGTTTACTTTGAATATTAAAAATTAAATAAATTGCGTTTTTTATTTGTGGTGCTCAGATGCAGTGTAGTTCCACTTTAAACAAAGTCTGTTGCAATTGTTACATTGTAAGTGAAGAAAATTATGCTGTAAGGCACACTTGTTGGGGTGACATTCAAAATGATAGTACCACAGACTGTGTGCTAGCACAGGCTGCGTATAACAAGAGTTAAAATGTGCATTTTCCAGTATGTTAACTCACTGCATAGGTGCGGGTCCAGCCTAAAGCTGCATGTTATTCTGTAAAGAGGACAAATCCAGATGACTGAACATGACCAAATACTGGGGCACACTGACAGCTGATCCTGTCACTAAACAGAACCCATCATTCTTGCCCTACACACAGTAGAAATCAATGCAAATCTTTGTGTTAGTGTTGGATTGGGCTGAGAAGGGTTAACACCTCTGTCAGTTTTTTTTTCTGTGTCCCCATTTGGCATGGTTTAGCGTGTTACCTGTCCCAGGTGGCACCAGTAACTGGGACATGCAGGGAGAAAGAAATTTGAAGAGCAGTTCTCTTCTAACACTTTCTCATTCCACTTTTATTATAATTATAGTGGAAAATTAAAAGAGACGTTTGGATTTCCGTAAAAAAAAAACAAATTCATACTCACCTAGGTGATGCAGCATCTGTTCCCCATAGGCTCTAAGGCTGAAAATGAGCAATCAAACAATCCTAAATTTTGGGTTGTCCCTTGAAAAGTAATAGAGGGGAATCTTTCAATGGGGACACTAGTTCTGGTGACCTGGGGTTCCCCAAGGAATTCCCTTAATATGCAGAGATTTCTTATCGCTTCCGGTTTGGCTATGGGACGGGAAGTGAAGGGACATCTCTGCAATGGGACACAGATGGCAGAAGAAAATCTGACAGGTCTACCAATTATTACCTTCCCTTGCTCTATCCAAAATGAAAAAAAAGTTTTGCTTATAGTTCTACTTTCAGTATTAGTTCAGGGGTAGGCAACCTGTGGCTCTCTAGCTGTTATGGAACTACATTTCCCATGAGGCATTGCAAAGATTACAAAACTGACAGTTACAGCTATGACTTGCAGAGGCATGATGGAACTTGTAGTCCTGCGGCTCTCAGGTTGCCTACCCTTGGTTTAGTCAATAACTCATTTTCATACTAGCTGTATTTAAACTGGTTGCAAACCCTTACATATACCCATTGAAGTGACTAGCTTTGGGTGATACACAGAGATGAAACAAACGCTCCTACGTAAGTTGTACCTGTTTATCTGCAGTCATCTCTTATCCACAGGCCTTTAAACTGTACGGTTTACACAATGTTTCTGATCGTCAGAAGGCAGGGGACAGGGACCTGAGGTCACACGCTGCACAGCATAGAGCAGGGAGCTGAGTGTAATCCGAGACCTCAGTAGAGGGAATTTACTCGCCACCGTCTATGCAGTCTCATAGGCAAACATGCACAGCTGAGGCTATCAATCACAAGCTGTGTGCTAAGGCTCCACTTCTGTCACCCTGCATCTCTTGGAGTAGATATAACCCAGGGGTGTCAGATCGGCAGCCCTCCAGCTGCTGCGAAACTAGAAGTCCCATCATGCCTCTGCCCTTGGGAGTCATGCTTGTAACTGTCAATCTTGCAATGCCTCATGAGACTTGTAGTTTGGCAACAGCTGGAGGGCTGCCAGTTTGACACCCGTGATATAACCTGTCAGAAGAGACTCATGCAGATAGCAGAGGAAGGAGACAGCAGACAAAAATCACAGTAAGTGCTTTGAGTTGAGTCAAGTACACACTATAGAAAGGTGTGCTTTATTCATTTTTCATTTAAGAGGTTTACAACCACTATAATGTTGCAAAAGAAGTGGTGCATTGCCAGTTATTGTATTCAGACAGCTGCAGTACCTTTGGCTGCCTGAATACCTGAACAGTGACTGTATCAGTGGACAGCTTATCTTGTCTACATGTTGCCAGGGCTGTGTCAAGAAATAAGGTTGTGAGAAAGTTAGGTGTGACATCAACCAGTGTGGTCTAAAAAGCACATGGTAAGAAAATTGAATATACAGAAAAAGGCCATATGGGACTTGTCATCTGCTTTCTTTCCTCTTTTTACTTATGGTTGACAAAACTATATTTGTCAGTACATCACATTGTCGGCGTGAGCTATACCAAATTCTCCTATAGCCTAAACACTGTTGTAATGGCTGCATGTATACAAGTAGATGGAGCTTCATTTCACATGCAGTATAAAAATGCACTACAACCATCAGGAAGGTATGTTGCATTATGATCCTAGATGGGTAAATAAAATGGCTTTTAGTTCCCAAAAGGAAGATCTGATTCCTTTGCTATAGAATCCAGTAAGCACGTGCCAGGTTGTACAATCTTTGTTTGGTAAGTTGCACTTGACTTGGAATTTTGTGAAAATCTAATGATAGTACAATGTTCCATAATTCCTGTTATCTATCTTATGATGCGTGGATATATCTACACTATAAAGTTTCTTCTTTTGCATTTTTCCTCCTGTAACTGTATTTTTATTGAGTAATTCTCAATTTTTTTTTTGCAGACTGTTCATAGTCTTTGTGGTTATTTTGTTACAGGGATGGTGGTATGTAATTGGGTAGTCATACTCAGTGTCTGCATCACGGTACTTTGTGTATTCGATCCAACTGGAAGAACATTTGTGAAGTTACGTGCAACAAAGAGAAGGCAAAGGAATTTGCGCACATACAACTTGCGGTGAGAACGAACTCTTATTCATCTTTAAATGTTTTACCGTTCCCTATAGGTTTTCAGTTCCATTGTCTTCTACACAGTGTAGCTCATTCTTCAGTATACCCACCTGAATAATCCTTCTCTCATAGGCACCGTCTGGAAGAAGGCCAAGCCAGCAGCTGGACTCGTCGTCTGAAAGTCTTCCTGTGCTGCACTCGCACTAAGGACTCTCAGTCTGTAAGCTCACAAACACGATGATTACTTTAGCAGATTGGATAACGTTGCATCTGTATAGCCTAATGCAGGGTTTTCATTCTTCCATACATATGAAATTGCACATTCAGATTTGTGAATGCTTTAAAATGCATCTACAAATGATGTTTAAGACCATTTTTGTTCTTCATTGGAGTACTAAATGCATAAGGAAAATTTAGACAGTGCTCCGTGGGAAATGTATGCAAATAAGCCACCATAGGGAAAGAAAAGACTTCTGGGAAATTGGCACAGAAGTGGCTAAGTGGTGTTTGGAATAATCTAGGCAAGGCTGTTTGGAAAGATTTGCAAATAACCCTCTCCAGATCAAGAACCCGTTTCCAAATAATAGCAGCTTTTTATTGTGAGTTTAAACATTGAATAGGTATTTGCATTCCAGCATTTGCCTTCTGTGACGTTACCCGGTATGGCAGTGTAGAAAATCCATAACATACACTCAGTGCCTCATATATCACTAAAATGAGAGTTGCAGTTTTAAATTCTGCCAACAGTGTCATTAACCACTTCAAGTCCGGACACTTTCACCCCCTTCCTGTCCAGGCCAATTTTCAGCTTTCAGCTCTACCACACTTTGAATGACAATTGCGCAGTCATGCAACACTGTACCCATATGAATTTTTTAGCATTATTTTGAGACAGATAAAACTTTATTTTGGTGGTATTTATTCACCACTGGGATTTTTTTTTGCTATAAAAATGAAAAGTCCAAAAATTTTCAAAAAACATTTTTCTTATAAAATTTTGCAAATAAATAATTTTTCTTCATACATCTTGGCCAATATTTATTCAGTTATCTTTTTAGTAAAAAAAAAAAATAACCAAAATTAGTTTATAACCAAACATTATAATTTTCGAATATTTTTTTTACTTTTTTTTTTTTTTTTTTTTTTTAATATTATTTGTTTTTTGTTTTTTTTTTTACATACTGTCACCCTAGCAGTACAGTGTCACCATAGTGACACTGTACTACTTGTGGGGGTTATGAAGATTTTTTTTTTTTTTTACACTGGTTGCTTTTACACCCACAAAGGCTGTAAAAGCAATAATTTCTCCTTCTCTCTGGCTGCATTCTTGCAGCCAATGAGAAATACTGTGTGAGCTGTGATTGGTCACAGCTTGTCACATGGTACAAGGCTGTTGTGAATAGCCTCAGTGATCATTCATAGATTTCACAAGTAGTAAGCAATGATGTCAGAAGTGACATCTTGCTTACACCTATTCATGTGATCACTGATTGGCCAATCAGTGATCAAATGGTTGGGACTTCACACAGAGGTCCCGAACAACGATCGGTGTTCCACTCTGTCCGGAGGACACAGCGGGTACCGGATTGCGGTGCTGTGCGCTCCCAGGGAGCAAGCACAAGCAGGGGGGTGGGGAGGCCGTTTATAAACGGCCACCCGCCCCTGCACTGCTCCCGTCCGGCCGTTTATGTACATGGGTAGGACAGGACGTGGTTAAAAGAGAATGCTGCTATTGTAGTTTGTCTGTTCATATATAATGCTACTTTTTTGAGCCTTGCTGTGTCTGAATGGATGAATTTTAAAAAAATCCTCAGGGCAATCAGAAGTACACATTTCACATTCCTGTATCTGGATAATAGTTTTGCAGAATTTTATAGTTTAACTGTATTTAAAAACCTATTGAACCTTTATTTACACAGGGAAAACAAGCTGCTTTGCAAATATATCGTGTCGGCCCAGGTTCTTCTTTCCCTGTGCTTTGAAAGCACAGGCCCACTTCAGGATAAACATCTTTTGTTTACATGCAGCATGTCTGTGGTCTGTGCTGAAAGACATGTTTAATCAAAAGGGAACTCCAGGAATTTAGCCACTAGGGAGGGGTGGGCACAACAGCTACAATGTGCAGCGCTGTAGTGGTATTAGATTCAGAAGGTGGCAGCAAAGGAGGGTTGAAAATGTAGCGATATCTATTTTGCTGGCCCTCAGTAAAATAAAAATTGTAAGTCCCGAAAGAGAGATAAGTCTACAACGGTGACATGAACCTCTTTGGACTTAACGTCTAGTAATCTAGCACCTTTGTACAAAGTGGCTGAATTTATGGAGTTCATGCTTTGATCATATCCTCAGTTTCTAGACTCCCAAAATGGACGGACTGCATGTCTTTATCCACTGCCGTTTTCATTGTAGAAAACAGATTACACACTGGTACCTTGGAGACACGCAGTCTTTCATAGAAGCCCACACAGCCCCAAAGCTGACCCGCTATACATACATTAAATAGTGCAGTGGGCTTGTATTTTCACAATAGAGCTGTGTTCTTTATGTAAACATGCTGTTGGGTAAACAGTTCTAATTTTTGTTTCATCAGTCCACAGAACACTATCCCACAACTTTTGTGGGTTTGTCCACATGGCTTTTTGGATATAAACTCTAGCATAGGACCTGCACAGCAAACGCCAGGGAGTTCTGGCACGGACTCGGCCTTCATTTTTTATTGTCTGGGCTGAATATTAACAAAGTGTCACACGGGACTTCAAGTAGGTTAATCAAAAGTGTCTACGTAGCGTTATACAACAGTGCCCTTTGAATCTTCTGCTTCCTTGCGTCTGACCCAAATATGTCTCTTTTCCCAGGAACGCCTATTCAGAGATTGCCTATTTGTTTGCTGAGTTTTTTCGGGATCTGGATATTGTTCCTTCTGATATCATTGCTGGGTTAGTCCTGTTACGCCAGAGACAAAAGGCAAAAAGAAATGCAGTATTGGATGTATGAGGCACAAGTCCTGTCAGATTTTATTGTATTCTTGAAAAGATGGGCTCATTTATGTTCGTGTGTGTGGAATGAACTTACACTTTCTGTAGCAAAACAGCAGCCAACCTGAACCTTTAATTTACATCTGACAGTTTTCTCCCAGTGTGGGATCAGGAAAGAACAAGTGAATGTGAATAACAACATCTTCATCAGATCACAACCATTTCACATGTACACTCCTTAAACAGAATACAGCTGTTCAATGTATACTCCTAACCTCATTGAAAAGAGCATATGCTACAAAAAGAACTAGTAACACACTTTTCAGTGGCAGGCCTAATATCCCTTACACATGACCCTCGCATCTCCCACGACATCTTTCCGGCACTTCCCGGGATCTTGGAGAATCACAGAGCTGTATTTCAGTAAATGGAACAACATTGGAGATTGGCTAGGTACCTGCACGACAAATTTTTGTACTACTAATTTCCTGCCCACAAAGTGGTGTTTTCAGTGGTATATGAGTCCAGAACGCATGGCCAAATCTCTCACAAACGCAGCTATTCTCCACTTTTTTTATGGATATTGGATGTGGGAATACAAGGAACACTACATCACTTCTGAAAAGATGGTGGCAATGCCCAAAAGTCCAGAAATCGCCAATATGGGTATATAATCTGACTCATCAGAACCACCACTCACTCAATAAAATACAGGCTAGACAGTAGCTAACCCCTGGAAACCTTACTTCATAGACCTAATATTTCTGATCTTACCACTAAGGAACAAATGGAACAACAAGTTTGGCAGTAACGTATTGCTGTGTGCCTGTCAATTGGCTAACAACTTCCTAATTTTTTTTATCTACATATAAAAACTATAACCAGCTTCTGCCAAAGCTTGAAGACAACCCTTTCTGAACCTTTTTGGAGATAAAGCCACTCTCATAAAAATCTGGTAAGCTCCCACAGACCAATTTCTGATCTTACCCAGAGGACAAAAACGTACTTCTTTTAGTAAGCGACAGCTTGAAGACAACACTCTCTGAAATTCCCTGAAAGCAGCATATGGTCTCCGAGAAACGTACTTAGAGTAAGCGGACACAACTCCACAATCCACAAATCCTGACCACTCCTTGGGCTACTTTCACACTGATCCGTTTTTACCACGTTTGCGGTGCGTTTTTTTTACAGAACTTGTGACTCAAAAACCATACCAAGAACACAACTCATCGGTGTGTTTTTGATGTGTTTTTACCATGTTTTCCATTGATTTTAATGGAGAGGTGCATTTTTGGTGCAGTTTTTTTTTACTGCACCAAAAATGCAGCAAACAGGATTTTAAAAAAATACAGCAGACAACAAATCAGTGTGAAGAGTTCCATTGGAAAAATGAATTGGTGTGAAAGCAGCCTTAATCTCACTTTGAAAAATAAAAAGGCTCCAATGATTGGGAATTTCTGGCTGGGCCCTTGACACCTTCTTTCTCTCCTAGCCTTCCTCCTGTTTCTTTTTCTTCTTCTACTTACTGCTCTCTAAACCTTACTATCTCCTACACTTAGGCTAGAATTACCTTTCCCCTTCCCCCTCTTTTGCTCTAAAGGCATCGAAATATTGTTAGAGCTAACCACAATCCCCTGTACCATGGGCAGGTATATCAAGTAAATACCATTTGCACACTTCCTAAGCCACCGGAGCATAGACAGGTCCACAGTCACATCCCCTTCCTCCTTTTCCCACTGAGCCCATGAATCTCTATCTCCTCTGGCTTCCTTTTGCTGGGTTTAGCCTATATTATGTCATGTTTAATACAAACATACACCTTTCTTATTCGTTTGCTTCTATGTAGCACCTCTGATATTCCTTACTGTATGATATAAAATGTATGCTTTGTTCTGATTGTATTAAAACCCTTGAAATCAAAATATATGTGAAAAGAAAGGGTCAACACTATTGGCATATTTGCTGCGTGAAACATTTGTTAGCCGGCATAGTTTTGACAGAAGAGGCCAAATGTGATGTACTGTTTTTTGTTTTGTTTTTTTTTGTTTGTGGAGTGAGATATGTCTTGTGACTATCACTGTTCTCTGCTTTCAGGCTAATAATGACATATTGGCTTTCCTATCTGGCATGCCAGTCACCCGAAAAACAAAATACCTGGATCTAAAAAATACTGTGAGTATTTATGCCTTGACTTTATATACGTATATATTTCCAGAGACTTTTCTATTCATCGAAGCCTTTCTCTTCCCTCTCTCAGCAAGAGATGCAACGCTACAAGGAGGTTTGTTATTACATGCTCTTTGCACTGGCAGCTTATGGCTGGCCCATGTACCTCATTAGAAAGCCAACATGTGGCATCTGTCGATTGGCGGGTGCATGCTCGTGAGTAGTCCAGTCATTTCTTGAAACTATGCATCCTTTATGTGTTTCTTGCTGTTAACATTTGTAACTTCGCTTTTTTTATATTTATTTGCTCTTCATTTTATCTCTTATTGAGCTTTTTTACGTTGGGTATATTTGTGCTGATAACTGTGATTGTCCTATCTGATGTACACACTATTTGTGTCTGCTTTTGTTTCCTCTTTGTTTTTTTCTCCTTGCTCCTCCTATTAGTAGCTGCTGCTGCCCCTGCACTACCCGTCCTCGCTTTGCTCCTGGAGTTACCATTGAGGAGGACAATTGCTGTGGTTGCAATGCAATTGCTATAAAGCGCCATTTTCTGGATGAGAACATGAACATGGTGGACATTGTATATACGTCATGTCATGATGCGGTTAGTTCTTTGACTTTCTGTGACTTTTTGTGCCTTGTACCATTTAACTGAATCCAAGGCAGGTATAAAAGACACAAGTCAGTTCAGGTCTATATCCATTATTGCTGTACGAAAGGACAACTGTGCCTTTGTAAAATTGCCCTTAAATAAATTCCTCCCATCCCCTGAGTGCATCCCACCAGGTCAGAGTCTTACCTTTAGCCCAGATCCAGTGATCTTTGCTGTGCAACCCTGCTCGGAGTCGGACAGCCTTTCTCCCAAAAATGGCTGTCTTGTACTGTGCATGTCTGCCACAGCCCCATTTGTTCTTATGGAAAATCCGTACTAATGGCCGCCTTCAGTGGTCGCTTTGGGTGCGGCTTTCCCTTAGGAATGCATGATTCAAAGTACACATGTGCAGTATGAAAATGCAGCTTTTCTGGTGGAGATCCTGGATCAGAGCTGAAGGTATTTGTCCTAGTGGGATGCACTCAGAGGGGTGGGGGGGAATTTATGTAAGGAAAATTGTACAAATGTACAGTTGTTCTTCAAGTGTATGTTTTAAATGCAAGCAGTTTAAGTCTGTATTTGACTTGGTACCAGCCTCTTGCAGTCCCTGTACAGCAAAACTTAGACTGGGAAACTGAGAAGCAGCACAATGTGCCAATCAGTGTCTATTCATATGCTAACAGATAGCTTACTGATAGGAGAAGAGAGCATAATGGCAGGAATCAGATGATTGGTGTGCTGCTTCTCTTTCACTGAACTTTAGTAACCTATACAGTAGCTTGCCTCAAGCATTCCGTTTCCCATGGTGGGTGGAAAAGTTTTTTTTTTTAAAATAACATGACTTTTTTTCTACTCTCCAGGTAAATAGTTAAATTATACATTTTTTTGTTAGAAAACTTTGTTGATCCTAAATTTTTTTAAACCAAAGTAATGGAAAAGTACCGTATTTGCCGGCGTATAAGACGACCCCCTACTTTTCCTGCTAAAATGTAGTGTTTGGGCTATACTCGCCGTATAAGACTACCCCTCTTCCAATGCACACCAGTGGGAGGAATAGTGCCCCATCATCGGTGTCAGTGGGAGGAATAGTGTCCCATCATTGGTGTCAGTGGGAGGAATAGTGCCCCATCATTGGTATCAGTGGGGAGGAATAGTGCCCCATCATTGGCATCAGTGGCAGGAATAGTGCCCCATCATTGGTGTTAGTGGGAGGAATAGTGCCCCATCATTGGTATCAGTGGAGGAATAGTGCCCCATCATTGGTATCAGTGGGAGGAATAGTGCCCCATCATTAGTATCAGTGGGGGGAATAGTGCCCCATCATTGGTGTCAGTGGGAGGAATAGTGCCCCACATTGGTGTCAGTGGGAGGAATAGTGTCCCATCATTGGTGTCAGTGGGGGTGGAATAGTGCCCCATCATTGGTGTCAGTGGGGGGTGGAATAGTGCCCCATCATTGGTGTCAGTGGGGGGGGGGAATAGTGCCCCATCATTGGTGTCAGTGGGGGGTGGAATAGTGCCCCATCATTGGTGTCAGTGGGGGGGGGAATAGTGCCCCATCATTGGTGTCAGTGGGGGGTGCAATAGTGCCCCGTCATTGGTGTCAGTGGGGGGGGGAATAGTGCCCCATCATTGGTGTCAGTGGGGGGTGGAATAGTGCCCCATCGTTGGTGTCAGTGGGGGGGGAATAGTGCCCCATCGTTGGTGTTCAGTGGGGGGTGGAATAGTGCCACATCGTTGGTGTCAGTGGGGGGTGGAATAGTGCCCCATCATTGGTGTCAGTGGGGGGTGGAATAGTGCCCCATCATTGGTGTCAGTGGGGGAGAGGAATAGTGCCCCATCGTTGGTGTCAGTGGGAGGAATAGTGCTCCATCATTGGTATCAGTGACACCAATGATGGGGCACTATTCCTCCCACTGACACTTGCTGACCCTGTTCTCGTATGGTGCTGCTGCAGCCAGCATATGTGGTTGCAGCAGCACCTCTACACTGAACACTTACCTGCTGCTCCTGCACTCGATTTCCGCGGGACCGGTGATTGGCCGCCTGTGTTCCTTTCCTGATCTACAGTTCTGGCGGCCAATCACCGGTGAGGAGGCGGAGCCGAGCAGCCGCGCGAACATCCAGTGGCCGAGCTGAAAGAGGAGCCGCGCTTCCTGGACCGGATCATCGTGGGACCGGAGCCAGGTAAGAAACAGCCCCTGCCCACCCCTGTACTTAGTGTCCCTTCCGTTGGAAGGGGGGGGGCGGCGGCACCGCGCCGCCCCCCTAAAAAGTGTCAGTATGCCGTATACCGGCGTATAAGACGACCCCCGACTTTTGAGAAGATTTCCAAGGGGTAAAAAAGTCGTCTTATACGCGCCGGCAAATACGGTAATCACAGGACAACACATTTATTACCCTTCAGAGCCATTATATTTGTGTAATCTGGACTTTGCCTAGCTGCTGCCTCCCAGCATAGTTTTTCACACTTTGCCCTGCCAAGAAAGCTGTAATTGGTGGCGAGTGTTTCTACTCAAGGCTTTTAATTAGTCATGTCACATAAATCTGCTTTTTTTTAGGTTTATGAAACCCCATTCTTCGTGGCTGTAGATCATGACAAGAAGAAAGTCGTGATAAGCATACGTGGAACACTCTCTCCAAAGGTAAAACAAAATTACATCTTGACCAGAAAAAAATTTTCTTGTTCAATTGTGTCATAAGACCTAAGTGCTGGTTCTTATATATGCGGATTGGATGCTGTTTGAACCGCATCCAATCCGCATGACGTGAAAAAACACTGTTTTCTATGGTACTTGTTCACATATGTCTGTTGCACTGGCAGTGCGGATTCAGTACAGTTTGAAAAAGAGTCCCATATGATTTCTGAGCAGTGCCTTCACATTCAGGTGTGAATTGCAGGCTATTGACTTTTATGGGAACTGTTTCTAAACTGCACATGTGTGAACAGGATAAGATCCTAAGCTAATCCTGTCCCTAACCTGATATAAACCTGACATGAACCACTGAACAACTACTGCATCAATTAGCTGTGAGACCTGAGCTTCAGTCCGCACCGCATATGTGTGAATCTGGTTTAAAAATAACAAACATGTCATACTTATCTGCCCTGTGCAGTGGTTTTGCACAGCATAGCCCCGATTTGCCTCTTCTCGGGTTCCCCACTGGCGCTTCTGACCTCTCCCTCCTGCCTAGTGCCTCCATAATAGGCTACTTGCTATGGGGGCACTGGTGCGTGCTCGGTCCTGAGCCACTGCTTTGTGTGTCCATTCATACATGGAGTGTGACTCAGCCCCTCCCCCGCTCTCTCCTCATTGGCTCACTGGCTTTGATTGACAGCAGGAGCAGCCAATGTCTACCGATGCTATCTCAGTCAGGAGGAGGGAGAGACCCAGGAGAGCCGAGGCTTTCCTGAACATCAGTGGATTGGGCTCAGGTAAGTTTTGGGGTGGGGAGGGGGCTGCTGCTGCATACAGAAGGTTTTTAAAGAAATTCATTGACTGTTTGTTTTCTTAGGATGCCTTGACAGATCTTACAGGAGATGCAGAGCGCCTGCCAGTGGAGGGACACCATGGAACATGGTTAGGCCACAAGGTAACCAGGTTGAAGACTGAATTTTAAGTGCAGTGTATTGCTGTGAGAGAGGTGGATATATACACTCACCGGTCTCTTTATTAGGTACACCTGTTCAATTTCCTGGTAACACAAATTGCTAATCAGTCAATCACATGGTAACAGCTCAATGCATTTGGGCATGTGTACGTGGTGAAGACAACTTGCTGAAGTTCAAACCCAGCATCAGAGTGGGGAAGAAAGGGGATTTAATTAACTTTGAACGTGGCATGGTTGTTGGTGCTAGACGGGTTGGTCTGAGTGTTTCATAAAGTGCTGATCTACTGGGATTTTCATGCACAACCATCCCTAGGATTTACAGAGAAAGGTCCTAAAAAGAGAAAATATATAGTGATCGGCAGTTGTGTGGACTAAAATGCTTTGTTGATGTCAGAGGTCAGAGAAGAATGGGCAGACTGGTTCGAGATGATAAAAAGGCAACAGTAACTCAAATAATCGCTCATTACAACCAACTTGTGGAGAATACCATTTCTGAACGCACAACACGTTGAACCTTGAAGCAGATGGTCTACAGCAGCAGAAGACCACACCGGGTGCCACTTCTGTCAGCTAAGAACAGGAAGTGGAGGCTAAAATTCTCACAAGCTCACCAAAATTGGACAATAGAAGTTTGGAAAAATGTTGCCTGGTCTGATGAGTCTCAATTTTCAGCTGTGGCATTCAGATGGTAGGGTCAGAATTTGGCGTAAACAACATGAAAGTATGGATCCATCCTGCATCAATGGTTCAGGCTGGTGGTGTAATGGTGTGGGGGATATTTTTTTTTGGCACACTTTGGGCCCCTTAGTACCAACTGAGCATCGTTTAAATGCCACGGCCTACCTGAGTATTGTTGCTGACTATGTCCATCCCTTTATGACTGTAGTGTACACATCTTCTGATGGCTACTTCCAGCAGGATAATGCACCATGTCACAAAGCTCAAATCATCTCAAACTGGTTTCTTGAACATGACAATGAGTTCACTGTACTCCAATGGCCTGTGATGGAACAGGAGATTCGCATCATGGATGTGCAGCCGACAAATCTGCCACAACTGCGGGATGCTATCATGTCAATATGGACCAAAATCTCTGAGGAATGTTTCCAGCACCTTGCTGAATCTATGCAATGAAGAATTAAGGCAGTTCTGAAGGCAAAAGGGGGTTCAACCCGGTACTAGCATGGTGTACCTAATAGAGTGGCCTGTGTGTGTGTGTGTTTGTGTATATGTATATATATATATATATATATATATACACACCATTCGTAAAGTATTTAACCAATTGTAGTATATCAGGTTGCAAAACAACAAAAATGTAAAAATGGAGTCTCAATACTTTTTGAATGTATGTATGTGAGTTTGTGTGTGTATAAATATATATATATATATATATATATATATATATATAGGCAGAAAGGACCACTAGGGGGATGATGTCAAGGGTCAGTGCACAATACTGTATGTTGGGGAGGAGGAATGGGGGTGATATGAAGGGGCAAAAAGGACTACTGAGGAAGGGGGTATGATGTAAAGGGGCAGAGAATACTACTGTATGTTGGGGGGAAAATGGGGGGTGATATGAAGGGGGCAGAAAGGACTACTAAGGGGAGGGGGGGGGGTGATGTAAATGGGCAGAGCACACAACTGTATGTGTAATGTGTGTGTGTGTGTGGGGGGGGGGGTAAGGAAGTCGAAAGGACTAGTGGGGGGGTGATATAAAGGGGCAGAGCATGCTACTGTATTTGGGGGGGAGGTGGTGATGCGAAGGGGGCAGAAAGGACTACTGGAGGGTTGATGTAAAGGGGCAGAGCACACTACTGTGTGTGCGGGGGGGGGTTGATGTGAAGGGTAAAGCACACTACTTGGTGAAGGGGGGGGATGATGTGAAGGGGGCAGAGCACACTACTACTGTGTGTGTGTGGGGGGGGGGGGGGGTGCTATGATGTGAAGGACCCATGTCACTGGACAAACATGCAGTTTGGGCCTCTGCTGGGAGAACGTTTTACTGATCCACCTCTGTAATTTTAACTCATTACCCCTGGTCAAACAGAAATTGTATGACAGAGACAAACGTTTTTATGGTTTTTTGTAGCTGTCAAATTTTTAAAGATGAACTCAAGGATACGAAAAAAAATTTAATTACTGGCAAAAAAGGAGTTAAGCACAAGGGTTATATCACCTCCAAGAGATCTATTAACACTTTTTAAATCTTGCTAAACTTTTTTTTTTCCTTCTCTTTGTCAGCATTTTGTTTTTAGCAAAAGGGCTCCCTTTCATTATCCGATAACGTAGGTCAAAGTCCCATTCCATAATTCCCACTACCTGTACACCCTCAGACTATTGCACTTGTGTGTGATTAGATGGTACACACAGACATTCCTACAAATCATCTTAATTTACAGGGTCATTTCACAATCTCTGTATTGATCATATTTGAGTGAGGTCATGCATACATCTCTTGGTAATTACCCTGTGAACTGTAAATAGAGATTTATGATGTGCTTTTCTCTTCAAGTGATGTAATTATTTTGTGTCTGTGAAATAAAATATTTCTTTCTTAATCTTGCATGTTCTTTCATCAGGGGATGGTTCTTTCTGCTGAGTATATTAAGAAGAAGTTGGAGCAAGAAATGGTTCTTTCCCAAGCATTCGGCCGTGACTTGGTACTGTAGACTAATTTTGGAATTACAAATTCACTACGGAAATAGATTTGTAGCAGATTTTATTAAGTTAAGTTGTTGTTAAGGAAGAAGTCTCACAGCCACAGCAGATCACATGACAGTTGCAAACAATAAATGGCTTTGATTCATGCCATTCGTTGTGTAGCTAGCTGTGATTGGTCACAGTGATCACATGGTATAGACAGGGCCAATCAGAGCTCATATGTACCATGTGATTAGCTGTGGCCAGTCACAGCTAAATCACAGCAAAACATACTGAATGAATTGATTTCATTCAGTAAAATGCTTGTTTATAGCAGTGAAATTCACTGATAGAGGCAATCATAATGTGTAAAAAAAAAAAGAAAATTTCGTAATTTTCCAAAAAATTATGGCAAAAATATACTAGTTTAAAAAACTCAGCATGCCTCTTACTAAATACCTTGGACTGTCTACTTTCCCAAAAGGGGTCATTTTGGGGGGTATCTGTACATTTTTATGCCTCAAAAAATGAGATAGACCATCAGTACAATCAGGACTAATCGATTTTCAGATATATACCATAGTATATATCATAGTATGTATATTTTTTCTAAATTTTTGGTCTTTTTTTTCATTTATTTAGCAAAAAATAAAAAAACACAGCCGTTGCATGACCACAATTGTCATTCAAAGTGTGAGAGCGCTGAAAGATGAAAATTGGCCTGGGCAGGAAGGGGATAAAAGTGCTTATTGAAGTGGATAAGAAAAACTATATATATATATATATGTCAGTAGGGAAATGTTAGTGCATTAAGCTTGAGCTTTTCAGCTCTGTAAACAGTTTTTTTTCAGTATAGATTTTGAGATTACCCTGGTAAACATGTGAGCGAATGTCTAAAATGCCACCTACTGCCTGGATTTGTAAATATAACATTTTCATATTTACTTGTCTAAAAGAGTTAAAAAATCTTTTATATTTGTGTTGTCACTAACATAATAAAGTATATACGTTGTAATAAAATATACACAATTCCTGCACATTCCCTTTCCCAAAATGTATTTCATATTTTGTCTTGATTATCTTGTTGGAGTAGGGGGTCTTACAAACAGTATTTTGTTGGTGTTTATTATATACAGCTTATTACTCTTTTACTAACAGGGACGTGGTACAAAACACTATGGCCTAATAGTGGTGGGACATTCTCTTGGAGCTGGAACTGCTGCCATTCTTTCTTTTCTCCTGCGCCCTCAGTACCCTTCCCTGAAATGTTTTGCCTACTCTCCACCGGGGGGCCTCCTAAGGTACGTGGCAACTATTCGTACATGAAATGTCAGTTATTATAAAATACGCCAATTAATTTTTTTCAATGCTTTCTAATCAGTGAGGATGCCATGGAATATTCAAAGGAGTTTGTGACATCTGTAGTGCTTGGAAAAGACTTGGTCCCTAGGTAAAATATGCCATTTGGCCGTTGTGTGGTATGTTTTATACATGCTTCATTGCCCTCACAACTGTTTTCAATTTTCCTTAGGATTGGGTTATCTCAGCTCGAAGGTTTCCGTAGGCATCTTCTAGATGTTCTGCAGAGAAGCAACAAGCCAAAGGTTAGCTGTCTAACTGCATATTTTCCAATGATTGATCATTCCTTCCCTAGTATTAAGCCTGTTTGTAGAATTGCTCCACTTACATACACTTTTTGGAAGAAATTCAAGGATATAAGCCATGAAGGAAAAAAGCTCTGTGTTCTTGGCTTCAACTTCCCAAACACATTTATTGTGAGCCAAGACATTCTGTATTGTAAATTCCTTCTAATAAATTGCACCATTTTTAAACATCCCACCTGACTAGGTCCTATACGTTGCAACCTAATTGTTTGTAATTTGATCATTTCAATATTTTGTTTGCATTTATAAAACCTTAGCATGTATGTATATTTTTTCCATTGCTACCTTAACCACTTGACATCTGGAAGATTTAGCCCCCTGACCAGGCCATTTTCTTGCGGTACGGCGCTGCATTACTTTAACTGACAATTGTGCAATCATACAACGCTGTACATAAATTAAATTTGTCTTTTTTTTTCCCACAAATAGAGCTTTCTTTTAGTGGTATTTGATCACCTCTGCATTTTTAACATTTTGCACTATAAATGAAAAAAAACACTGACATTTTAAAAAAAAAAAACATATTTTTTACTTTCTGCTAACAAACATATCCAATAAAAACATTTTAAAAGTCAAATTTCTTCATAAATTTAGGCCAAAATGTATTCTGCTACATATTTTGGTAAACAAATTCCACTAAGCGTATATTGATTGGTTTGCGCAAAAGTTATAGCGTCTACAAATGGCGGAATATATACTTGATTTTTTTTTTTCTTCAATATATATACCAGTAATGGTGGCAATCGGCGGCTTATAGTGGACTGCAATATTGTGGCAGACAACCTGACACTAATTGACACTTTGCGGGAACCAGTGACACTAATACCGTGGGCAGTGCTAAAAATTTACTTTCGCTGTATTAATGACACTGGCTGGGAAGGGGTTAAACATCTAGGACGATCAAATGGTTAATTATGTGCCTAGCCAGTGTTTTGTGTACAGTGTGCTGTTTTTACTAGGTAATCTGCTAGTATTTTATTCCCTGAATAAAATCTAGCAGTTCGCCGTTGACATAACACAGCTCTGCCTTGTTTACATAGGCAGAGCTATGTTATGTCAGTTTCCTCAGTGATCAACAGGTGCTCATCCATTGGCCGCCACCTATTGATCGGTTTCTGCTGTGTCCAGTCAGAGCAGAAGCGGTGCTCCGGCACACGCCCCCCAGTGGTGGAGATGCAAAATCCCAATTATATGCATGATTTTGCACAGAACGTCCACCCTGTAGCAGTAAATTTGCTATAGGGCATATAGCAATTGGTTAAAATGTATCTGTAGGGATTTTTGTTTTAGTTTTTTCGAGTGTGTTTTTAGTTGTTTTTGTGGTCTGTGTCCCAATGGGAACATTTTTCTTCTCATCTTGTCTGGAAGACACACCTGGAAGTATGAGGAAATCTCTCCAAAGTGAGAGGAAGCCCCTTTTAGACATTTGTCATTGTAACAGATGTCCCTCTCATCTATTCTGATAAAAGCCATCATTTATGGATTCCCAATCACTTTCTGTCCCAGTGACTTTGATCAACAGTACAGAGAGATTGAATTTTTATTAGGGCTGAAATCAATTAATTGGATAAAAACCTCAAAAAGTGTGATGTGCAGGTAATGTGTACAGTTTTAAAAATATATATTCTTGAATCTCTATACAGTATGCAGTGGTAAATGTAAAAAAACAGCTATATGGCTAGTAAACAAAATATCTAATCCATTCTTTGAACAACAGAAGAGATATACACTCACTGGCCCCTTTATTAGGTACACCTGTTCAATTATTATTATTATACAGGATTTATATAGCGCCAACGGTTTACGCATCGCTTTACAATAGAATGGGGACAGTACAATTACAATACAGTTTGATGCAGAATTAATTGAAGGGCCCTGCTCATGGAGCTTACAATCTAAAGGAAGGGGGAGGTGGTACAAAAGGTAATAGCTGCAAGAGATGATCTGATGGAGGTAACTTAAGTACAGTTCTTAGGTGGAGGTGGGGTAAGCTTCCCTGAATAAATGAGTTTTCAAGGATCATCTAAAAGCAGACAGGGTAGGAGCTAACTAGACATACTGGGGCAGGGAGTTCCAGAGGAACGGAGAGGCTCTGGAGAAGTTCTGGAGGTGAGAGTGGGAGAAGGTAACAAGGGACCTGGAGAGCAGGAGATCTTGGGAGGAGCGGAGAGGACGGTTTGGGTGATATCTGCAGATGAGGTTGATGATCAGGTGATGTAGCTGACCTTCTGTGTTGTGGTTAGTATTTTGAATTTTTTTTAATTTATATGAATTTTATACGTTGGGCTAGTGGAAGCCAGTGAAGAGATTTGCAGAGAGGGGCTGTAGTCACTGATTAGTTAGTAAGGTGTATTAGTCTAGCAGCAGCATTCTTAATAGACTGATGGGGAGATAGCCTGTGTAGGGGTAGGCCAGTGAGGAGGGAGTTGCAGTAGTCAAGGCGGAAAATAACCAAGGAGTGAATAAGCTGTTTTGTGGTGTCGTAAGTCAGGAAGGGTCGCATTCTGGATATGTTGCGGAGATTGAGGCGGCAAGATTTAGCCAGTAATTGGATGTGGGGGCTGAAGGAGAGGTCAGAGTCTAGGATTACACCAACACCCTGGCATGTGGGGAGGGACCAATTGTACCGTTGATCTCAATGACAAATTCATAGGGAGGGGATTGGGGAGGAGGAAATATTACAAGCTCAGTTTTAGAAAGATTGAGTTTGAGGAAGTGGTGTTACATCCATATGGATATGTTACTCAGTAAATTTGTGATACGTAAGGAGATTGAGGGGGTGAGTTGAGTTGAGAGATAGATCTGGGTGTCATCAACATAGAGGTGGTATTGGAAGCCATGGGAGGTTATCAACTAGCACAGGGAAGAGGTATAGAGAGGGAAGAGGAGGGGCCCAAGGACAGAACCTTGGGGTATACCTACAGAAAGAGGAAGCTGAGGAGATGGTATTGTATGTGACACTAAAAGTGCGCTGAGATAGATAGGAGGAGAAATCAGGAAAGAGCAGAGTCACGGAGGCCAAGGGAGTGGAGTTTACTGAGGAGGACCTGGTGGTCAACTGTGTCAAAGGCAGCAGAAAGGTCTAAGAGTATGAGTATGGAGTACTGGCTGTTGGGTTTAGCAGTTAGTAGGTCATTGGTGAGTTTTTATATGGCAGTTTCAGTGGAATGTTGTGGACGGAAGCCGGACTGTAGGGGATCGAGAAATATGTTGTCAGTGAGGTAGCAACTCATACAGTTGTGGACAAGGCGTTTAAGAAGCTTGGAGGCAAACAGATGTAGGGAGATGGCCCTTAAGTTATTCAAACAGGTGGGGTCCAGTGAGGGTTTTTAAGTATGGGGGTAACCAGTGCATGTTTGAGTAGGGAGGGAAAGCTGATAAGGAGAGGTTGAAGATATGGGTTAGAGAGAGTTTAGGATGAAGCAGGAAGGTGGTTGCAGTAATTGTGAGGGGACAGGGTCCAGTGGACAGCGGAAAGGAGTTTGGCAACTTCCTCGGTGGTAACAGGGTTGAAGGAGGAACGTGTTGAGTGTGGTTTTGGAATTGGTGAGTTTGTTGGTGGGGAAAGCTGGATGCTGGCTATCTCATCACGAATTGTGTTGATTTTGTTTTTGAAATGATTGGCAATCTCCTGTGCAGTAAGTGAGTTGGTGGCTGGAGACAGTGGGGGGTGAAGTAAGGAATTAAGGGTAGAAAAGTTGATGAGGTTTGATGAGAGTGGTGTAGTAGGTTTGTTTAGCAGTGTGGAGGCAGGATTTGTATTTGAGAAGGGCAGATTTGTAGAGGGTGAAGTCTTGTCGGTTTAGTTTTACGCCATGCTCATTCAAGAGCACGGCTGTGTCTCTTGAGACTTCTGGTGTGTTTTGTTTGCCAGGGTTGCAGCAGGCGAGGCATGGTTCTGTGTGTAGATAGAATGAGATAGAGCGAGTGTGTCCAGGGTGGATGACAGTGTGTTGTTGTAGTCCGAAGTGGCCAATTCTGGGCAGTACAGATGTGCAATTTTATCATAAGGGCAGTCAGTAGCAGGAGGAATTGTTCAACTGCTTGGTAACACAAATTGCTAATCAGCCAATCACATGGCAGCAACTCAGTGCATTTGGGCATGTAGACGTGGTGAAGACAACATGCTGAAGTTCAAACCGAGCATCAGAATGGGGAAGAAAAGATATTTAAGTGACTGAACGTGGCATGGTTGTTGGTGCCAGAATGCTGCTGTTGTAGCATGTGTGATTAATCATACTTTTCTACCAATGTAATACCTTTTTTTACATCAATAATTTAAGATTTTCTCCGAAGCCCGCCTCACCACCTGCCCCCTGGACCCTGTCTCCTCACAACTCCTGTGGTCCCCCTCCTCTTCCATCCTATGCTCCCTCTCTCACATCTTCAATCTTTCCCTCTCCACCGGTACCTTCCCCTGCCCTCTAAAGCACACGCACATCATTCCCATACTTAAGAAACCCTCCCTGGACCCCTCCGACCTGAACAACCTAAGACCGATCTCCCTACTGCCATTTACTTCTAAACTACTAGAACGCTTAGTCTACAATCGCCAAAGCTCCCATCTCACCGACAACAACCTTCTCGACCCTTTACAGTCTGGCTTCTGCCCCCTACACTCCACCGAAACTGCCCTACTCAAACTCACCAATGACCAACTAACCGCCAAAACCAATGGCCACTATACTATACTCTTACTACTTGACCTCTCTGTGGCTTTTGACATGGTTGACCATCCCCTCCTCCTAAAAAAATTGCACTCTCTTGGCCCCAGAGACTCCGCTCTCTCCTGGTTCTCCTCCTATCTATCGCAGCGCTCCTTCAGTGTTACCTATAACGCTGCCACCTCCCCTTCACTCCCTCTCTCTGTCGGGGTCTCTCAAGGCTCTGTCCTCGGACCCCTCCTCTTCTCCATCTACACCTCCTCCCTTGGCCAATTGATAAACTCACACGGCTTCAACTACCATCTCTATGCCGACGACACACAAATCTATCTCTCTACCCTTCACCTCACCCCCTCAGTCTCCGATTGCATCACCAGCCTACTGAGTGACATATCGGACTGGATGTCACTCCACTTCCTCAAACTCAACCTTTCCAAAACTGAGCTTTTAGTATTCCCCCCAGCCCGTGCCCTGCCCCCGACTTCTCCATCAAGATCAACAACACTACCATCAGTCCCACCCCTCACGCCAGGGTGCTAGGCGTAATCCTAGACTCCAATCTGTCCTTTCAGCCCCAGGTCCAATCACTGACAAACTCATGTAGACTTCACCTCCGCTACATCTCCAAGATACGACTGTTCCTAACCTCTGAAACCACTAAGCAACTCATCCACTCCCTTATTATATCACGCCTTGACTACTGTAACTCCCTCCTCACTGGCCTACCTCATCGCAGGCTATCCCCACTCCAGTCCATCATGAATGCTGCTGCCAGACTCATTCACCTTACTAACCGCTCTGTATCTGCCACCCCTCTCTGCCAATCCCTTCACTGGCTTCCAATTGCCCAGCGGATAAAATTCAAAACACTGACGTACGAAGCCGTTCAGAACACTGCCCCTGACTACATCACCGACCTTGTCTCTAAATACCACCCAAACCGTACTCTCCGCTCCTAGCAAGACCTCCTACTCTCTAGCTCCCTTGTCTCCTCCTCCCATGTTCGTCTCCAGGATTTCTCACGGGCTTCATCCATCCTCTGGAACTTCCTACCTCAAGCTATCAGGCTATCACGCTACCCTGCTCACTTTTAGGAGCACTCTGAAAACGCATCTCTTCAGGAAAGCCTACCCTGACACCGGCTAACTACTGGAATCCCCTACTCCCCCAACCACTCCATCCCCCACAGCTAATTACCTCTTGTACCATTATCCCCTCCCCCTAGATTGTAAGCTCCAAGGAGCAGGGCCCTCTTATATTGAACTGTATTGTTACTGTACTGTCTCCCTCCTTAATGTAAAGCGCTGAGCAAACTGTCGGCTCCTGTATTATAATAATAAGGTTTAGCATGGTTTACAAAAAAAAAAGAGAGAAACTATTGTTTTTATCCCCAGCAAAACTCCCTTAAAGCAGGGTATCGTCCACAATAAACAGTTATGAATCAAACGAGTGCTGGTGAAGCTTAACATGTTTGAATAACATGACATAATTTAATCTCTTTAGAGTATGCAAAAACAGATCATATAAATAATCTGATCAAGACAATTGTAACTCTGATTAAATGGGACAAAGTGGCAAATTAGCATGTCTCAACTCGGTAGAAATGGTTTGCAAGTAGGATTACAATGCTGTAAACCCACATTGGCTATTTACCAATATGAAGAGAAAAAATTGCAGGGATGATATACATTTTTTGTGTGTGAAGGCAGAAATCTCTGCATTTTATATTGTAAATTGTTCATATTAACATTCACATGGGCATACTGATCTATTCACCCATGCAAAGGCCTGTCTTCACCCACGCAGAATGCACAAGTGTTCCATGTACATCTATCAGAGACCAATGTACACATCAGAACACAGACATCCTTCCGATCTGTGCATCAGTCCCACACAGATGTACACTCGGGAATGTCCTTGGAGGTCTGTGCAGGGTGAAGACGGCCCTTCACATTGGTGTATGAATCGGTATGCTTGTGTAAAGTCTAAAAGAATATGTTCACAGATCAGTTGGTAAACAGGGTCCCTGTTGTCAGCAGCCTAACAGAAGAACTTTATTGACTCTACAGCTGATCATAAGTTCCTCTTTCTTGCTGTTTGTATAGTGGCGGATCATCCTAGGGGGTACAAAGTGTATACCTAAATCAGAACTTCCTGATGAGTCTGATGGGATAACTGTGCCAAATAACCGACTCTGGACTCACCCTAGTGATCTAACCATAGCGCTGTCTGCCAGCACGCCACTCTACCCACCTGGACGAATCATTCATGTAGTGCACAACCATCCTGAGGAGCGATGCTGGTAAGTGTATGGGGACTACCATACAGAATGTTATAAAAAGCTTTGATTAATGATATTCACCATACTCACATTTCCTGTAATACTGGACTTGCCTTTACCTTGTGAAGTTTCTGGGATCAAGAGGAACCAACATACTTTGCCATTTGGGGGGACAACAAAGCATTTGAGGAAGTTATCATCTCTCCAGCCATGCTGCATGAACACCTCCCTCATGTTGTGATGGAAGGACTCAATAAGGTAAGAGAAAGCAGGTGCTTAAGAATATGTTACATGTTACACTCTAAATTCCTAAAGGTGAACTTAGCCTTTATAAACTGTTTAGATACTATATTTTTTTCACCCTGCTGGATAGCAAAAAAGCCTCCAATCCCCCCAGTATTCTTTATTACATAATAATTCACCACCTCTGATGTAAAAGCCTAAACAAAATTAACAGTGAAATTTCACCAGGTTTTAGCATTCTTTTTACCTTTATGTTTTGGGCGTAAAAAACGTTTTATAAAGAAACTATTGTACAAATTATAAAGGAGTTGACATAATGGGAACATTAGAATATTTCTCACAGAGCAGATCTCATGTTTCTCGCACCAGGTAATCATTTTGTTGGGACATTGAAGGCAGGATAAAACAAAAAGTACTCTAAGGAAAGAAGGAGTGATTCATAGAGCTTTTCATTTTAGGATCGTAGTACGTAGTATGTGACTTATAAACGTAGTGCATAGGAGTTTTAAGGCAGTTGCTCTAATGTCTTTAGTTGATGGTAATGGGAACCACAGTGACGGATGTAAGATTTGCAAAATATTATCTGTTCCTGCTGCATCATACACAAATGCAGCTTCGCAAACCTGATCTTTTTTCTGAGGCACCACATATCTGTGCTCCAGCATTTGTGCTGGAATTGCGCTCCCAAAACGTAGACCGAGCTGTCACCTCTTGCTCCTGGTTTTGTTGTAATGATCTGGACACGGTAAGCCTCTGTCTCGTGGTCAGTGTTGGCTATCACCGTGATCAATCTTTAAAACCTACCCCTGTACTGTCTATGAATGGACATGAAAAAAATATGGTATTAAACTTCAAAAAATATTTTTTACTATCTTGGCCAGTTTTCCTTTAATCATATAAAAATTCCGATAATTAAATACCTTCTCTAAAATGGCCACCACAATACTTTTGGTTTGCGTCTGATGTCACTTCCTACTGACGCGTTTCGTCACATTGACTTCCTTATAGGCTGTGACAACACACTTTATGCGTTGAGGACATACTACGTTATATTTATTTTATTTTCTTGGGAGCAATTGCAGAATTGCAGAGTAATCTGGTGAGAGCATAAGAATTCTGAATGTTTTATATAGATTTTAAGGAATAACGTTGCCCTGATTTGATAGTGGTATACTTTTGACCTGTTTGTTTACCCTTTTAAACAAGTGTCAAGTCTTTTTAATTCTTATTGCACTTCCAGCATTTACTAGCATGATTATTTTCCTTACCAGGTTCTGGAGAATTATAACAAAGGCAAGACAGCTCTACTTTCTGCTGCAAAAGTGATGGTTAGTCCAACAGAAGTTGACCTAAACCCTGAGCTGATCTTCCACCAACCACCCCATCTGTCTCCTCCCATCTTGGAGGTGATACCTGCCATAATGCCTGGGACAAATGCCAACAGGAGGAACAGCAGCACCAAGTAAGCAGTGAGATGTTCAGTGGTACAGCATTGCTATGCTCAGAGACTATATATGCTGTCCACTTCTAGCCATAAAGATTTTCATTTTGAAAATGTTCCAGCTGCTTCTGATCATGGCCACCTCGCATATTACCCCTGAAAACAAGCAGGGCCTGTATCCCATCATTGTTTGTGTTACTCATTTGTCTAGTATTGCTGCTCTGCTATCTGACAAAGTACTTTAATACATTTTCATAGAAATAACATACTCCCATGTGTCTTTTGTTTTGCATCCAAACTTGTCGTGTTGTGTGGATGTGGGTGCATGGTTGAGGGATAAATTTGATGTTGACTGGCATGATCTAAAATGGGTTCTAAAGCAGGAATCTGTTAGGAAGTATGCAACTTATTGCAGCTTTTTGCAGCAATTACTTAAATGTATTCCACTTCTTAATCTTCTTCCATCTGTCTCACATTTCCTTACGCATGTTTCTTGTCCTTGTTATTTAGGAACCTGTGTGGTGTGATCTGATTTCTCTTTGCTCGCCTGTGTAATGGACACTGTTCTGTCCCTTTTTCTTGCATTACCATGGCCTGTTTGTGTCGTGATTTGTAATCTCATCTGTGAGTTTTTTCAAACTTTTTTTTCTCCCCCAAAACATGTCATATCAGTTTGTAATTTGTCCTTTATTGTTTATTCACTAGCTGTTTCTAGTTTTGTACACTGTGAAATTGCTTCTTCTCCGGAGATGAACTAATGTAGTATGGGTCTCGTACGAATGTTAGATCTGTTCCTGGGTATATTTGACCCACTGCTTCAAAAAATGGCACCAATTTTTCCCTATCAGCTCTCGTTTTTATAGATGCAGCATAAATGCCACTCTTCACTTTGGTCGCCTGTCAAAAATTAGGTTATTTTTATTGTAGTGTTTTACTTTTCTCCTTTACATAAAAGAAACATATAAAAAAGTAGCCATATCCTCTATAGTGCTTGACCTGCAGAAATATAACGATTAGTGGTAATATACATATGCCTCCTATACGATCATAACTTTAATACAGTTAATAACTTACACTTTATAATCCAATGTTTCTGATGTAAATTACAGTTGGAAGTACGTCAATACTTACTAACTTGTATGCAAAAAACACAAACTAGGTAACAGAAGAATAATTTGATCAACAAGATCTTTTCAAAAACTGACTAAAAATTCTATAAATTCAGCCATATCTAAGAAACTAGAGCTCATGCAGTCTAGAAAATGCAATTTCCTGAATCCGTGACCCAAACAACCCCAAGAACAGGTCTAAAAAGCAAGGCACCAATATTTTTTTGGGGGGCTGTGTTATTTATCAAGAAAGAATGGCCATAGACATTAGTGGGTGGTTAGATGCAAAGACATGGTCCAACTGCCCAAACATTCAAAAGACTGTAATAAACATGGCAGCTTGAATCACCGGAATGTAAATGATAATATAAAGATGGGAGGGGATGTTTCCGATGGAGATTTCCAAGAGCAGCTTATCATGGTGAAATGGTATAGCAAAATAGCACTTTCAAGTGATCCTTTTGTTAAATTAAAGCCATGAACCCCAAACTTACTATATAGTGAAGGTACTTTCAGTGGCCTGAATGTTTATTCAAACTTTCTGCAGGTAGCTCCATGAGCCTAGAGTTCTGGGGTGCTCTGATATATAAAAATAAACTACAACCCTCATTTGGGGTTGATTGCTTTGCCTTCCAACCCAAGCCTTGCTTCTGGGCCATCACTCTCATATGATGCCTTATTAAACATTAATGAGACTCAGGAATAGGCAATCAGAGCTGGTACACGAAAAGCTGGCTGAATCTGACTTGATTTTTCACTACATAGCAAGTACTGGTTTCATAGCATTTATATAGTCACAGGTCTCAATCAAAGAAATTGCCCATGGGACTTTAAAGAAGCTGCGACAAACAACAACAGGTAAAAAATACTGTAAAAATCTGCTTTTTATTCACATACAAAATTGAAATTAAAACCCTAATAAAATACAGTGAAACATATCAAAACATTATGGATAACATGTATCAAACTAACCAGCTGATATCATGACACTCAACGCATTTTGTTTACTTCATCAGGAGAATGTAATGATTCTTAGGATATCTGTGGAGAAGCCATGTCAGTTAGTACAGGAAAAAAAAAGACACATAAGCAAAATGCATATTGAGAAAAAAACATACAGTTAGTGATATTTCCTATGTGTCCAGACTTTAGGGATACCCTGTACAACAAAATTTCTTCAAGGGCGATAGCCAGACACATCAAGGCATAACTTACCCAGTAATATACAAACTATATGAAAGTCAGAATCAAAGATTCTTTTCTGGCAAAAAAACAATGGCATGTGATGGAGAAACAGCATGGGACACACTTTTTCCAGGAGCTGTAGAGAGGGCAGGAAACCACAAAGCAGGGGCCACACCGTGGGAGTAGTGGGCCAGATTGCCAACCATATAGTGGAAGGCTAAAGTAAAGAAAATAAGGTCTAAGTATTTATGACCAATTGTCAAAAACCTCAGTGGTGAAAATTAAAAAAAAAAGGTGACCCTAGGTTGGGCAGGAAACAAAATACATGAATACCTCTTGTAAGAAGTCAGATATGGTACAATATTAGGAACCCCCAGAGGGTCAGACGGGAACATTACAAATAAAGAAGGAAATAGAGAAGGCAAAGCCCATTTACCATATTGCTAAAAGTGCCAACAAGACAAATAAGCAAAATATGACAAAATAAAAATGACCAATTGTCAAAAATCTCAGTGGTAAAAAATTAAATAAGTGTGGCCCTAGGGTGGGGCACGAAACAAAATCGTTGAATTCCTCTTGTGAGAAATCAGATAAAGTGCACTAATAAGAACCCCCAGAGAGTCAGAAGGGAGCATTACAAATAAAGAATAAAAAAGAAGAAAGGGAAAACCCATAGACCAACAAGACAAACAAGCAAAATAAGGCAAGGTAGATTACCTAGAAGCAACCATGAACTTCTATGATCAGACCACAAACATCCAAGGTGTTCATAGCCATCACCTCAACCACAAAGGAAATAAAGGCAGAGGAAAAAAGAAACCCATTACATATACCTGCCACTGGATGCCACACTCAATCTATTGTCATGTGGGAGATGTTGGTCACAGGTTTTTATTAATATGTGTTCAAACAATTTTCTTCTAAGCCCCTGGTGCCCAACTGTCAACCCTCCAGCTGTCTATCAGCTGCTCATGCCTTCTTCAGCTGTACTGGCTGCATTGAGTGCTGGACAAGCATCACATGTGGGCAATGGGGAAAGAAAGCAAACAAACAGCAATAGCTGTTATGCTTTCTTTAGGAGGGCCAGACAAATGTTTCTTCCTTCCTATATGACAAGGTCATGTGATTGTGTGGTGTTCAGACTAACCTGATGTCAGAGGCTGTCAGTCCAGCCCTGCTAATGAGGTGAGGTGAGGTAGTGCTACAGAGCAGTGAAAATGGAAAAAGAAAATAGAGGTTAATGTGAGTTTATTTAATGAATAGTTACAGGCATCTGTATGTTATACATAGTTTCATTGGTCCAGCTTGATCCAATATAACTTTGTATGTACTATACTTAATCAATGTATTATACTTGATACATGAGCTGCACTAGCAGATAGTAGAGTCATCCTCCTGGCTGAACGATGAGGTAGAGGCACGTGAATCTCCAAATTGACTGAACAGAATTATAAATCATTTGCCTGCTAAAACAGTTGATGTAAATATCATATAATTCAAGTGTGCAATTATCTCAGGGGCGTCCAACCTTTTGATTTTGTTGAGCCACATTGGAAGAAGAGGAATTGTCTTGGGCCACACATAAAATATACTAACAATAAAAGGATAGCTGATGAGCAGAAAAGGTTGGGCAGATCACAAGTTACAGATCACTGATACAGTACCTGAGTAATAAAACTTAATTTTTTGTAATATTTTTTATTATAAAAATAAAAGAGGGCAACATAAAACTAGTACAATATTTGACACTGTTTTTGATAAGTTAATGCATCAATATCTGTGTTGGGCTGTATTCATAACTCTTGGGCCACAGGTTGGACACCCCTGAATTAGCTGTCTGTCTTGAGTTCTGCTAAAAGAGTACATGAGCAGTTTTTATTATTCTGAGATCATTTTTGCTGGTTCACATTCGGAGGAAAAGCTTTTTCATTAAAGGAAGTGACACTTGCATTTATGAATGGCATTCCCTGGCTTAGTTATCAACTCTTTCAGCTAAACTGGTAAGTGGGGAAAAATGTAAGACAATGTGTTGCAAAGCTGTATATGTTTTTCGGTCTTCATGCACTTGTTTACTGCTTATTAGTGGCAGTTTATAACATTGAACCTTTTCCCTGAATTGCTAGCTTAGAACTACTAGTATGCTGCAATAGTTGGGCAATGGTTTTGTACCTTATTCTGTTCCGCAGATTGCATTAAATACCCACAGCTGAAGACATCCTGTGGAAGCTGAAGTTCACAGCTGAGAATAAGTTTACAGTTTATGTAAAGCCGAAAGTTTTTTTTTTTTTATCTGGATTGGGAAGATCACTGAGTGAGGAAAAATGAAACATTTTGATTTGTCATCAAAACATTAATAAGAGGAAAAACCTCTAATGTGGACACCATTTATAGTTTTGTGGTAATTTCCTCACTTCCTATTTTGTCTACAGTACAGGAAGTAATGTAAAACTCTCAAATGGGAAACAAATGACAAAAATAAACCTGAAAAGCATTTTAACTTTCTCTACTCTATTCAAAATTTCACAATTAAAAAAAATAGCTTTTGCTATAGGGTACTTTTAGCACACAGTTTTGTTCCCTGAGTTTCAGTGTATAAATGCAAACCTTTATATGCCTTTTCAAGCTGCTGAAAAATCGGACATTCAGAAATGCAAGTGCATTTGGTTTTGTAGTGTACTTATATACATATATGTTACATGTTTGCATTCCTGTTTTAAGTTGCTAGGTATTA